TGTGTGTGTGTGTGTGCCTTCGAGTGGCCCTGTTGGTATAGGGTCTTGGAGTGACTCTGTCCGTATAGGTGCTTGCACTGCTTGGAGTAGCCCTGTCGGTATGGGTGCTTGGAGTGGCTCGGTTGGTAGAAACTTAGAATGGCTCGCTGGGGAGGTGTTTGGAGTGGCTAGGTCGGTAGGTGCTTGGATTGGCTCGGTCGGTAGGTGCTTGGAATGACTCGGTCGGTACATGTGCTTGGAGTGGCTTGGTCGGTATAGATGCTTGGAGTGGCTCGGTCAGTATAGGTGCTTGGAGTGTCTCGACCAGAATAGGTGTTTGGAGTGGCTCAGTAAGTATTCAGCAAATTTCTTGTTCTTTTTCTTTTTCATTTTTTCCTTTTTCTTTCCCTGGTATGAGCAGGCCTAGAAAGAAGTTCGCCGGTAGCAGAGGGACCGAGCATCGTCTGAGTGGCCAGGTGTTGTGGCTCCCTGAGTACCCCTCCCCTATGAACATCAGCAGAGACTGCTTTTTAATGCCAATTGGGGGAACCAACGGGCTATCTCTAGGTGGCGGGCGCCAAGCATGCCTAGGAAGGTACATGAGGCCAATGGGGATTGAACCCAAGACCTCCTAAATGCCACGTTTTTTTTTTTAAAGGGCGATGGCCTTGAGGTATTATCATCGGACTAACCAACCCAGGTAAATTCAATCTTGTGTCCAATCTGACAACGGTGGCCTTTTCAGCCCAGGGTGGCCTGATAGCCTTAGGGTGGCCTGATAGCCTTCAGGGATCCCCCACTGGGGGGGCCCCGGTGCTACTGGAACGGGCCGCAATAGCACGTGGTAGGGCCAAGTTCTAAGAAGTTGCATTCACAAGATGAATCTCCTCTGGAATATGGCGAGATACAGCACCACATGGACCCACAGCGATAGGGGAGCTCTCTCCTCGTTTCCACGAGAATCGGGGGAAAAGAATCTAACAACTAAAGAAAAAAAAAAAAAAAAAAGAATACACCTAAAATAGTTACAGGCTGCCCTTAGAAACGGGCGCCTGTCACGAACTTTGGGAGTTGCAGCTTCCAGCTTCTCAAGTAAGGGCCACGTGGTGCCACTTTTTTTTTTTCCCCCTTTTTAATCTCCCTTTTAGGAATCTTTCTCGATTTATGCCTGTCATCTTTGTGCTGGGGCCGTGCTCATTTCGGTGCAGCCATTTTCGGTTGCACGATCTGACAATCCTACAGTCGCGGTGCTGGCCTACTTTTCTTTTTTTTCCTAAGGTTTGAGGCCTCGACCGAGATGTCTAGGTACAGTCAGGCTGGCCCATGAACGAGATGTCTACGCCACGGTCTGGTTGGGTCACGGCCAAGATGTCTAGACTACGGCCGGGGTGGGTCACGGCAGAGATGTCTAGGTCATGCGTGAAAAAAAAAAAAAAAAAAAAGCTGCCGAAAATGACAAAAGTGCACGTTTCAATCAGGCCTGGGGCTAGGTCCTACTTGCACGAATTAAGAGATACTGACCGTAGATAGCAAAGATCAACGACCGAAATCTCCTAATTTGCGCAAGTGGGACCTTGCCCCTGATGTCTGAAACGGCGACTGATGTTATTTTTGCCTTTTCGCACAGCGACGGGGATGGACCTGCCCACAGGTGTTTTGCCTATTGGAAACGTGGGTTGTGAGTGATACAATTGAGTGATAGAAACAACTCGTTAGAGCAGAACTCATTCGAGAGGTAACACACCACAGTCAACGTAGGTAACGTACACAAAGTACACAAAGTCAACATGCATCAAATGCAAATTCATCAGGGGGTTGACCACCTACTTCACCCTCGGACTACTCTCACGGTCCTTCTTTCCCACTTCCGTACTCTCTAACACCGACACTCCGGAATGTCGGTACTTTTGAATGCCGTCAGTCCTGAAAAGGTCGACTACTACGTACTTGCTCCTTTTATCCACCCATACAACTCAGTCAGTAGCGTCGAATCGTGTCAACACACACACACACACACAGCTAAAAAAATTCTACAAACACGAATAGTACTACAGAATCGGTACCGGTTCCAGGGTCCTGGGTAGTCATACACAGGTAACACTCCAAAACCACTCGTGCGGGTCACCGTTCAGGTCACCTGGACAAAAACCAAGTAGACCTACGAAAAAACAGCTAAACATACGAAAAAACAGCTAAACCTACGAAAAAACAACTTCCGGACCAAACTGCCAACTTCCAAATAAAAGAAAAATAAAAGAAAAGAAAAACCTTATCCAACCTAGACACTCAAGTCAAATCAACGGATGCCCCTTTCTCCTGTTACAAACGTGGGTTGTGACCCACGAGCCGTTTCCCTTTTTTTTTTTTTTTTTTTTTTTTTGTGTGTGTGTGAGAGAAAGAGAGAGAGACCTCGCACAACAACTTGATCTGTACATGTACCTGGAGCCCACACGACAACTTGATCTGTACATGTATCTGGACCCCAGCTGCGACCACAGGTCCATGAGGGCTACCGATAGTCCAGTGGGGGGAACTGGCAGAGCGGCAAAATTCGAATATGCATTGAATTACCCCCGCAATTTGTTTCGTGGTTAAAATGATTTTTTTTATTTTTTTAAATATTTTTTCTGTAAAGATCACGACCAAATCTATAGACTTTCAAATTTTCATAGTTATCGGGTCATCCTTTTGATTGCGACAAATCGTGAAAGTTTGTTTTTTTTTCTCGTTGGCCCAAACGTGGTAGAGTAGTAAAAATGGAAAATGTGACGAAACAGCATGGCATTTACTTCACCGTTAAAGTTTTTTTTTTTTTTTTCTGATATTTTTCCTGGAAAGATCACGGCCTAATTTACAGGATGTCAAATTTTCAGATTTGTTTGCCAATTTTTCTGAGCGCGAAAAATCGTCAAAGTTCGCGCTTGAAAATGTTTGGCCCGGACCTGCCTGTGCCTGCTGGTCGCCGCCCCCGTTAAGAACCCGGTCCGTAAGGGCAGGAAAGTCCATTTCAGGCTGGCGGGGGTCACACTGTGCAACGTGAGGGTTCAGACACACAGGCACATCCTGACGTGTTAGTAGCCTGACGTCGGATACATTTCAAAAGACAGCAGTCCCCAAAAACAAGCAGGGACCCAGTCCACCTGAGTGGTTAGCTCAGGCGGGCAATTGGGTATTTCGAAATTTGTGCGTGGGTTCAAACCCCAACGCACCCACTGCGGTGAACGAACTTCAAATACTTAATAATAATAATATAATATAATGTATGTATGTATGTATGTATGTATGTGGGTGGGCGGGCGGGCGGGCGGGCCGGCGGGKGKGTGTAAGTGAGTGAGGGCGGGCGGGCGGGCGAGCAGGAGTGAGCGAGCGAGCGAGTGAGGGCGGGCGGGCGGGCGAGCAGGAGTGAGCGAGCGAGCGAGTGTGGGTGGGCGGGCGGGCGTGAGTGAGTGAGTGTGGGTGGTGGGCAGGAGTGAGTGTGTGTGGGTGGGCCCGACTTTTCTTTTTTCCATTTTCCCGCCCGAGGCCAAAAAAAAGAAAAGAAAATAACCACGAAACAGAAAGAAAAACAAACAAAAAAAGTATAAAAAAAAATAACCACGATACAAAAAGAAAAACGAAAAAAGTAAAAAACGATGCGCCGAAAAAGAAAATGCTAAAAAAAAAGGGTCGGGCCGCGCCGGAAGGAGACAAAACGATACGCCGGAAGGAGGAAAAAAAAAACTAAAAGTAAAAAAAAATAAATAAAAAATTCAAAAAAAAAATACAAATTCAAAAAGAAAAAAGAAAAAAAAGGGGCCGGGCCACGAAACGACACTTTCTTGCTATCCGACGGCGGGCGCGTTCGGATATTGATGCGCATCGACGCCCGCCGTGTACCCGGCCCCATGGGCGCTCTCTCTCGTTTAGTGGCGCGCTGTAAACAATTCGGTACGCGCGCCGCTCTGCATAACACCCCTCCCTCGATCACCTTCATCCGCCGGCTCGAATCAAAACTTCGGGCCGATTATGGCGCGCAGCGGAACACGACCTCCCCCCCGCGGGCCCACCGCGCTTAAGGGGTAGGATATTTTAACGTATTTTTCGGGGTATAAAAAAAAAAAAAGAAACAGGCCACGGACCGGGCCTCATTGGCCGCGGCCGCCGCCAACGTTTTCGGTCGCGGCGACCGAATTGCCTGCGGCCTAGGCTGCGGGTGTCACATAGGACACAGGCTAACCACTTCATTTACCAGCAAAATATTGATTCAATCATACTTTTTCACGCAGAGTAACCGACGTAGGAGTGAAACTACGGTTGAGTGGCTTCGACTCTCAGCGATGGCTTCAAATAACCAGAATGGATTTGTGCAGGAGAATAGGTCGTGCTATAATTGCGGTCAATGAGGACACATCTCTCGTTTTTGCTCTCTCCCAGATCGTAGGGTGAACGGAGGTAACACTTCGGTTAGTACAACTATCGTCCCCGCTCCTCTTTTGACTCTTCCTGGTCCTCAGTTTTCCAATACTAACCAAGGTTCTAATGTCGAGACTGCGGTCAACGGGTTTTCCGAGTATTGTGGAGGTAGTGGGTGGCTGGGGAAGAGGGTGTCCACTTTGGAAGAACAGTTCGCGGTTATTAGGGGAAAACACGAAGCGGATGAGGGCAAGGAACATGCGGCTAAGGAAGAAGAAGAGCGATTGAAGAAAGTACGTGAGGAGGAAGAGAGACGCCGATTGGACAAGAAAGACCGTGAAGATTTTCGTTCGCAGATTAGCAAGGAGGTTTCTATCAAATTGGACAAAGTCTACGATGCTATTAATGTGAAGAAGGGGACGGGAGTTTCAGAGGTTGAGTTGCTGAAGGCAAGGATCGAGGAATTGCAGGGACGACCAGCACGTCTGCCGAGGTGGTTCAACCAGTCTCCGGGAGTGACGAGTTAACAAGGTTAAGACGTGAGCAAGCAGATATGAAGGTCGCTGCCGACAAACGATTTGCTTCCCTTGAAGAAGTTATCCACGCTCTTCAGCGACAATGTGAGGAGGCCGAGGCAAACGCGGATGCATGGAGGTGTGAAGCCTTGCGACCAGGCAATAAGCGTGGCAGCATCACCGTTGGACCTACTCCGACTACTCAGGCTAGAGTACGACCGCGAGTTACTCCGTTAGCCTCACCGGTGGTCCGATTGGTTGACAACCAGTTGAAAGGGATAGTTGATCGGCATAAGGAGGAAGTGGAACTTTTGAAAGAGATGCGGCTCAAGGAGGTGAAAGCACGCAAAGATTCAGAAGAGGAGGTCGAGAGGTTAAAGGAGGCTCTGGCCAAAATGGAAATGGAGGGTCGACCTAAGACACGAGGAACGAACTTACGAAGTCGTCTGGATGATGCTGCAGGTCAGCCACGTCGGGCCTGTAATGGTGCTGTGGACGAGATTGTTCTGCCAACGGCTAGGAAGGACAAAGGAAAAACTCCGGTTGCCACAGGGGATCGGCGTGATGTTTTTCTTTGTGAAACTAGGAAGGATCTAAGGAACAAAAAAAAGGACGAGGTGCGTGTCATCTGCGAAAAAGAAGGTGTTGATTATACTACCTTGGATTGCACTAAGGAGGCAATTGCGCAGATAAGGTTGGCACGAGCGTTTGGGGGTAACGACGGACCTGCGAAGGGCGGTGGGGTGTCTTTGCATGAGGTTAGTGATGATGGGGAGGGGAGCTCCGATAAGGGGGATGAGGTTGACTCAGCTGTTTCCTAGAATCACTCCCAGACGCGTCTTATTTGTGGAAAACAGTGCGACTTTGTTGTGATTTGCGATCTCGGTCTGCTAAGATTTTGCGGAGTAAGGATTTGAATTTGTTATTTAGCTTTGCGTTGTGTGACCTGATTCTCATGGGACAGATTGCGTGGGGAACTAAGTTAATTGATTTCATTCTCAGTGCTTGTGCTCCTGGTGTGTTTGCGAAGGAAGAATGGAAGGGTCCGGTTATTTATGTGTTGATTTCCCCATGGTCTCGGCATTTGTATGTAGGGAGTACTCAACGGGATCTTCACTCTAGGTGGCGGGAGCATGCGTATCGGGCGAGTACGATTTCAGTGGCCGAGGGAGGGAAGCGTAATGAAAAGTTGTATAGGTGGATGAGGCGTTGTGGAACGTCTAATTTTGCGGTTATTCCTTTGTGTAGGTGTTCGGAGGATGGTCTCTTGGAAACGGAGAAGTTTTTTATTTGTCTTCTTTCTCGAGCTCTGAATGTGAGGGACAAGCCTAAGCGATCGCGAAGGAGGCTTGGTTTGAAGGAGCGACAAAGGAAGAAAAGGCGTGGGATCGAAGGTGATGTGTCGCAGAAGGTACCTTCTCAATTGAGGAATGGGAAGTTGGTGTCGTTCCACTCTAGTCTAGGGATTGTGTCATTGAGCTTATCTAGGATTTTGAACTTTTGTGTTGAGCAATCTATTGATCGTGTCGTAGTGCATTGTGTCGGAGGGGACATCAGTGGAAGGTTCTTAAAAGACGATATGGTGGCAGTCTGGTGTCTTCTATCTTTGGAAGAGTCGAGCTGAGACATGCACATGGGTGGTTGAAAGGTGGAGTGACGTTGACGGTTGACACTGTTATTCCCTTTTTAAGAGGGTCGTTGGTTCTTAAATCTCCCCTGGCGGATTTCTTAAGTGATCCGAGAAGTCGTGTTGCGTTAAAGATTTGGGATTTTGATTTGTTGATTGCGGCGTATACGGCTGTTCGAACTTTCAGTGAGAAACGCTCCCGTTTTCGGTTACGCTGCCTTCTATCTCATGGTATCCTTTCTAGGTTTGGAATCCACGTTAGGAAGAGATTAGTGATTCGGGTTGTGTTCGATGATGAGATCAGCAAGGCGGGGGTTCGTAAGTTGTGTGCAAGGATTGTTTGTGGGTTGGTCGAAAGCCCGACATGGAGGTTAATGTTAGTACAACGAATGAGGGTGGTATGGTGTCGGAATAAAAGTGTGGGCGACATGATTCATAATTTTCGTGCTGCTTCGACGCTGATCCGGGCAACCTGTGTGTGCCGTGACTGCGATCTGAGTCTCCCGCGTGTTGATGGTCATGTGGCGTTTCGTATCAATGATCTTGAGTGTTTCCCGGCGTGGATGAAGAATTCTAGGAATCTGCTTCGCCGACACGTGTACATTCGCGGGAAGCGCTTCGCTCACAATTACTCTCTTCTTTTTCAGCACATCCCTCCATACCTGTGGTTGATCCTGCTCTCATTACTGATGATCTTCTTGGACCTTTTTTTCTCAAACCGTCTGGGCTCTCCTCTTCGGAAGTTATTACTAAAGATGATCTTCGACCCTTTTGCGGAGTGTTAAAAGGCCTAGTCTGCAGTCCCATCGATCATAATATGGGGGACACGTACGCGCGCTGCCCGGTTCTGTATGAGGCTGGGATGAGCAAGCTGTTCTTTGGTAATGCATCCTTTTCGCTTTGCGCTGATCCTGAGGAACGTGTGTTGGAAAGTTGTCGGGTTAGGTATGATGAGTTGCTACTTAATCAAGTTGGGAAATGGCTGAGGAATGGAGGGTTTGGGAAGACTTATTGTATCCCAAAACATAAGGATACTAACCGATGGAGGCCTATCTGCCCATCGTATCCAGAAGGTAATGCGACAGGGGGAAGGACTATGTCACGGGTGGTTAATGCCTTGCTCTGGAACTTGCCGACGGGTTCGAATTTTAATCTACGAAGCTGTGTTGATTTGATGAAAGGGATACAAATGGTGAACAACGGGTTGACCGATAAGGATGAGGTTATTGGAGCTTCGTTTGATGTCAAGGAGATGTTTTCAAATCTCCCGCATCAGTCTATCTTAAGCGCTTTGACTTGGGCCGTCGAATTTTGGATCGCGAAGGGGATCAAGGGTGTTGTTGTCAGGAAACAGGGGAAAGGTGATAAACTGCTAAGAGGTGCTGTTAAAATGGGATGGAGGAAGGTTACCTTTCAGATGATTGTATTTTTTGTCTCTTTAGAGCTGGAACATACCTTTGTTCTGGCTGCTGGTCGGTTGCTCCGAGAAACGGTGGGGATCCCGATGGGTAAGTCCATGGGTCCAGCGCTGACTTGTTTGCTTTGTGCAGATAACGAGTTTTGTTTTCTTAATAGCCTTGCTTGTGATACGAGGTTGGTCAGGGGGTTTCGACTGGTCGATGATGTGTCTGTGTTCGCTGTCTGTAAGAAAGGATCGAAGGAGGAGAGGTTGAATTGTCATCAAGTGATTGAAGCATTTAGTCGGTGTTACGACAAGAATCTTGTGCTCGAACGTACTAGTGAAGGTGATGAATGGAACTATCTAGGTTGTGTGCTGAAAGTGTGTCGGGGTCGCAATGGGGTTGTGTGTGTCCCCGACATTAAGAATTAGGAGTTGGGAAGTGGGGGGAGGTTGACTTTTCAGTGTATTCAGGATTTTTCGTCGTTCACGAGTCAGAAGCAGAAGTGTGTTGTGATTTCGTCCTTTCTTCATAGGGCTAAAGTTTTTTCCTGGATGGATTGGATGGTGTTGCCTCTGTTGCTCTCCCTGAAGAACGAGTTGTGGATACGTGGTTACCAGGATGATTTCTTTGACAACGCGTTGGTCAATTTCTCACGGAAGTTTGGAGGACTCTGGCAGGATTGGATACCGGTGTTGACAAAATGGTGCCGCTCCAGGATGATGCTCATGGGGTCTCCCCCGAGGTTAGGGGGAAGTTGGTGAGTAAGGGTCTGAATGTGTTTGTAAGGTATAGTAAGTAGCTTGGTGAAGTAATGATCTCCAATTGAACGTACGTTGTTCCGCCTGTCTTAATGTGGGGATTTGCATGTATAAGATGAATGGGAAAAGTGGTAAGTAAGCAGGTGTTTGTTGGTTGGCCAGTATGTAGGGGGGTTGATTGAAAGTGGCGCATCACAACATTTATTCCCTCAGTCCAATAGGTCCACTGTTCGAACCAGGTCAACAACTCAACTCCCTCTACTTACTAGCCATCGACGTTCACCTGCACTCAGAACAAGGTCCCTCAGAAGGTTTGAACAGGGGACCGGTCATCGGTTGTGGGAACGGCCTGGGACTAGTGGACCGGTATGAGTGAAGTATGAGATGCTGTATTGTGTTTGTTTTTTTATGAACTATTTCGATTTTAGTATGCTGTAGGTTAGACTTGAACAAGTCACCTGTGGTACTACGGGTTTTTGGTTTTGTTTCTAGAAGGTTCGAGGCGCGACTGAAGATGAGTTTTTCGTCTAGTGAAGGTGGTGTTGACGTTTCTATTCTTCTGGTATATAACTAATAGACTACATGTCGTCTGTCTTGACAGACTAGACCCCTGATGATCCTGGTTGGCGGCCAGGTGAAACCGGTACGGTCCTACGCCAGCTTCATGGATGTTATCATTTTTTAACAAGTCGCATTCGGGTTTCGGGACATGTCGTCTACTGATTATCTCTCCTTTCCTTCTCCTCTCTTCTCCTCGTTCTCCTCTCTTCCTGTGTGGTGTGGACTTTTGCCGATGCCTGGTTTGGTACATTCGTAAGCAAGTAGTGTGATTCAATCGTCCATGTTGGGTGTATAATGTCCTCGAGGACCTCCGTCATTCGATTTGTCAGCGCTTTCCACAACATTTCGTAAACAATTGTGAGGAGTGTGAAAGGTTTGCAGTTCTTAAGATTCATTTTATCCCCCTTCTTCTACAGTAGAGACACCAAACGACCATTTCGTCAAAATTGACATTTTTTTTTTTTTTAACGAAATTGAAACTAAGTTTTTTGGTCGAAAACTCATCAAAATTTGTTGTTCCTGAGGGTCCAGCGTTTTACAAACGCTGGACCCCCTGGCTGTACATGGACCTAGCTTGAGACCAGACACCTCCAGGCAGGACTGCTTGGAGGTGCCTGGTCTCAAGCTAGGTCCATGTACAGCCAGGGGGTCTAGCGTTTGTAAAACGCTGGACCCTCAGGAACAACAAATTTTGACGAGTTTTCGGCCAAAAAACTCAGTTTCAATTTCGTTCAAAAAATAAAAGATGTCCATTTTGACGAAATGGCAGTTACCACGTTTCCCATCTACCCGACTTCCCACACCTTCTTATAGTATTCTCATGTATCCGAGTTCAAACCTGACAACATACATTCTAAAAGCTCGTTAGGGAGGCCATCAATGCCTGACGCTTTTCCATCTTCTATTTGAAGAAGTATCATCCAAATCTCACTTTTTGACAACGGCCTCTCCAAGCGTTCCCGCTGTTTTTGGGAAAAACGCTTGTCTAGGGGGGCCAAAAACTCCTCGAGATCTCTGACCCATGCTTCTCTTTGCGACTCCGAGATCTGAAACATGTACAATTGTTTGAAGAATGTTCTCGTTATCAATATGCAATGCGCAGTGTCCGTTGCTATGACTTCCTCCCCTTTCTCTGGGTCGTAAAGTGCCTCTATCACGGTCCATCGTACTCGCGTTGTTGCCAACTTGCCATACTAGAAAAGTGTGTATCCATCATGCCCTCTTTAGTGAGTTTGGACATTTTTCCTTGTAGCCTAATTCCTTGTCATCTATATTGAGCGAATTGGAAAAACTGGTCTTTCAATCTCTGGATGGTGGCGATATGTTTCTGAGAACCTGACTATTGTTCCAAGTCTTGCAAGTCCTTATGAGTGTCCATTTCCTATCGATAGCGTAGGGTTGCCTTTGCCTTAGAGTATTCCTTACATTTCTTTCCGAGTCATTATTGAACCATGTAAGAGGAGATTGGGAGAGAGGTATTTATTGGTGCCAGTATTACGTACTATTACCATGTGTCCTACATCATTATACGAAATGCTGGTCTTTCAATAGAGAGATATTTAGCTTG